TTGTTTACACTGAACTCCTGCTGGGAACACGTTCGTCGGCAGACAGTTAGTGTAAATACGATTGTTATCAGTTAAGTTTTGGGCATCAGCACTGATCTTGATTGTGTGAACAACCACTGAACTCATTCACCACATGAGTGTTTTCACACGACATTCTCTTTTTTTTATTGCTCTCTCGGGCATGGAGATAGAGACAAACTGTGGTTTGTGTGTGACATTATATTGACACAGAAAATCAAAATGTGAGAAGAGTGGTTTGGGTGAGGAGCAGGAATGCAGCTTTGCTCCAGGAATATTTCAAAAGCTCTTTCCTCTTTCCTGAAGCAGAACCTTCATCTCATGTTCCTGCTAATCTTATCTCGGTGCGCACTTGATTGCTTTACGCCCCCACTTCTCTGTTGAATAAAGGTAGTGTGCTAGTAAGAGCCCTTTATCTAAAAAAAAGTGCATTTATTCTTGCAGAAGCAAAGAATAAGGAACACATTACCAGTTTCTTTAAAAACAATCAAACCAAGTTAAGGTTGTGACTTTACAATGCTCRTGTTAAAACCTGTATGTTAGAGGTAAAATAAATAATTCAGTTTGTTGACTATAATTAATGTTAAAAACATGAAAGATAGAAATAAACACTAGTGTGTAAAGTGTAACTAGAAAAAAACATTTTCAGCAGAAATGTAGCCTAACTGCTAAATGACTGCTGAAATTTCTTAAAAAAATGAATTTATAACTGAATTATTAGTTAAAACAAGCAAATCAGATGCTACTGTTAGCAAATAACTAAAATGTACCTATAAGCTAAAATTAACTAAGTTGTACCTTGAAGCTAAATTTAGCTAAGCTGTAGCAGAAAACCTAATTTAGCAAAACAGTTGCAAAAAGCTGACAGTGGCAAAACCATAGCTAAAAACACCAACAGGACAAATGTGCTGAACACATTTCAGAGAATGTTTGTAAAGGAATTAAAAAGATCACCACATTATTGTTTTTGTAAAGAATTCAAACGTAAAAAAGTTACAAAATAGTGAAATTATTACCGAAATATACAGACAAATGTTTTGAGATTGTGAATGTGAAAGTAGTTTGGCTGAAACACACCCATACCCACATTTGTTTCTCTATCCCAGTGGGGACCTTGCATTGACTTCCATTCATTTTCCAGTCAATTTTATAGCCTAACCCTGACCCTTTACCCTAAAACTAACCACCCCGTTATCAGCACAAGCTTTGGTCACCCTGAGGAGCACTGGGTTCCCATGAGGCTGTTTTTCTGGAAAATGGTCCTCACGATGTAGCAAAAACATGCGCGCGCGCGCACGCACGCACACACACACACACACACACACACACACACACACACACACACACACACACACACACACACAGGAAACTCTTAACAGGAAAATATTGGTGTGACTGCTAACTTGGCATTCACACAATAAAGAAATTGTTCACTTAATTAGAACTTGATCCCACTCGGAAAGGATTTTCCAGTGGACTTCAAAGATACTCATTGAGGTTGAATCCTTCCTAAAAACTCAGCTGTTTTTGCTGTAAATTTTTAAGTTTTTTTGCTAGGGAAAAAACATGTGATGTGCGTAATATTACATATGCTATGAATTGGCATCCTGATTCTCATTCAGAAAATGGCAGATAAAAACACGCTAGTCTGGTTCTGCCCACATTTCACTATCTCAGCATTTTCCTAAATCTTTAGAATCTGCAAACAGTGACTGCACACTCATAATGTTCTCATAATCAACGGTAATAAATGTAGTCAGCGAGAACCTGGGTGCTTTGCCAGTGTATTACTGACAGCGACTTTCAACATGTGTTCTTTGGAAACCCCACAATTCTCAGCTAGTCGATCCTTTGAAATATTTTTAGCTGATACAACACGCCAAGGCTTGAAGTTAGTTTGGATGAATTGATCTCTTGCCACCAGGAAAATCTTCAGAGAATTAAAACAAGAAGAGTGGGGCAGAAGGATAATGGGAGAACATGTTAAAATAATAAAAAAAAGAACCTGCTGTTGGGTGTTAAATTGTGTTGAACTCGTTGGTGGCATCATGTGAAGCAGTACACTAGCAATAATGTTTAAAGGGCAGGTGGCTGCTAATCTCAGAAACGTTAAAGGCTCGCTGCTCTGGTATCTCACATGCACAAACTGAACATGAAAGTGGAACAGGAAGGAGGAAAAAACTCAACCTTAACCTTAAACACCTGACCAGTGTCCTCCGGTGTTTTAAACGGCACATCGTGATATCACCAAAAGGGGGGCTCAGTCCTTCCTTTAAAGGCAGGGTATTATGTATTTTCCAGGCACATAGTTCCACAATCAAGTAACTATGTTACCTCCAGTTGTTCTGGTAAAAGCTGTACGTATCAAAAACAAATCTGACTTTGCATCATAGCCAATAAACACCTTCAAATTAGCTTCTCTCTCTCTTTAAGATCCTCCTACCGTTTCCAACACTCCCACTTCAGCACATCACAACAATGCTTCCAGGGAGGGTGGCTCTATGGGGTGGGAGCTCGGCTGCAGACTGAGCTTCAGGGAGGAGCTTTGGGTAAAATGACGGGGCTTTGTACCAGCAATAGTTTAGACGGCTCCACAGGAGGTTCAAGGATTTCTCAAACATGCATGAATGAGTCAAAGCAACACTCTGGGTATGTTTTCGATGAGGGACTGACATTTTAACATGATTTAACGCTAAAAAAACGTATATTTTCACAGGTCATCAACAGGAAAACGAGTGCAGTGAGACTAAAGAGACTACGTGTAAGCCATGCGGATTAGGGAGGCACATAGAGACCTGGAACTTTTCGCCAAACTGCTTTTCTTGCACCAGATGCAGATCAAGTCAGTAGAAGCACAGAACATTGAAGTTACTAATTTAGATTGATTTATTTATTGTCACTTTTTATTATTAACTATCGTTATTAACAGCTGTGTGTATGTATACATTTCTGCATTTACCCAGCAAAAGGTCTTCAGGTTGCCCAGACGTGCAGCTCTACCACAAACTCCAAGTGTGTTTGCCAGCCTGGAAAGTACTGTGTTCTGGGGTTTAACGACCCATACTGCTCAGACTGTACGGACTACACAAAATGTAAACCTGGTTTTGGAGTTATAAAGCCAGGTAAAGACGATCCTTCAGCAATTGATGTGTTATTATGAATTATTGTTTTATTGTGAAATGTGTGTGTTGTCAGGCACGCTAAACTCTGATGTGAAGTGTGAACCCTGCCCACTTGGAACATTCTCTAATAAATCCTCCTACACTGAACCATGTCGGCCTGTCTCAGAGACTACCACAATTATAACAACATCCACGGCTACAGAAAAAACACCTTTGATAGTTCCAAACACAACTACCTCCTCTCCAACTGAAGGGGTTAAAACGTCATCAGTGGGATCAAGCGCATCACATGGAAACCATAACCGTGACTATGGTACAATCACCTTTATCAAACTGTTACAATCATTTGTTCACCATGTATTTATTTATGTCTCTGAGCTGTCTCTGTTTCTCTGCTAGTTGTGGTCATTCCTTGTGTCGTTGGATTGCTCGGGTTTCTGAGCCTCGTCATGATCCTGTTTTGTCTTTACAAAAAATTCCGTAGAAAAGGTAAAATCATCAAGAAAATGACATTCATCATTCTTATTTAAGAAACTATCACTGATTTCGCTTGACGCCTTGGTCTTTGTAGATTCTGCGAGCTTGCATCCTAAAGTGGATGCAAATGGAAACTGTGAGACTAAAGATGAAGTAAGTTTTGTCTTGTCTGTGCAACACACAAACAGCTTTTTTTTATAAACTGTTCTGCAATCTACTGCAATTAAAAAAAAAACCTTCAGCCTTTAATTTAAGCCTTACATAAAAAKAATATGTTGAACTCAAACAACTGAGTAATCTCCTCATGAAGTGGGCATAGTTCCCCTAAAGCACTAAAGCACTAATAGGGGAACTAATTTCCTGATCAGTGCTTTAGAGCTTTTGCTCATTTTAAAATTTATTACTGGATTAGCACTTGCTAAATTTCGAAGCACTAACTTAGGTCAATGAATGTCATTGATCAACGTTAATGTTAACAACTGACGGTGAAAGCTGTAACACATTTTGTTCATATGTGTGTGTCACTTATCTTATGGGTGACAATATATTGACAATATATGAACACAAATACAGCTGTGGAATGTCAATGATAAGTCTTAAGAGAGCAACATGGCGATAYGTGAGTCATGTTGTCAAAGAATGTTCATGGGTTGACTGGGTTATTTTAGTRCTTTAGAATTAGCTTTTGCTAAAACTTTCAGTGCGTTAGTGCTTTAGAATTATGGGACCTAAATATTTGAGTTAGTGCTTTAGAATTATGGGACCTAAATATTTGAGTTAGTGCTTTAGAATTATGGGACCTAAATATTTGAGTTCGTGTTTCAGGGCTAGTGGAACTACTTTTTAGATTAGTGCTGCCCACCACTGATCAAGTACAGTATATTGATGAGACAAGTTAATGGATAGGATTGCTGGTGAATATTCTCAGTCATTCAGGTCATGATCAATAAAAAAACTAATTCAATTCAAAAATGTCTTGAGCTGGGTGGAGTTCCAGGCTTTATAGACCTACCTATGAGGCAGGACTCTCTTCAGGACAAGACTCAGCTGTCCACCTACATCTCAAGGATAAAGGACACTCTTTTTAGGCCCAAAATGTACACATTTTGGATAGAGAAGACAGATTGTTTCACCTAATTTACACCTTCATGCGTGTGAACCAGACGAACAAAGACCATAATAACTACATTATGAGGGCGATTAGTTCCAGGTTAATTTACAAGTGAATCTAAGCACTATCAAAGCCTCTCAGGCTGGCCTATAAAGCCTGGAACTCCACACTACTCCAGACATTGAATTGGGAAAGCTTCCTGGACGGACGCAAAACGTCTGCTTCAAAATGTAAATCCATTTCTTTCATTCTGAACATTTTTTGGCTTGCTCTATAGTTTTCTAGATCTGAGTGAAAGGTTGAAAATGTTACGTTGAGGTGAAGGGTTGGGTTTGTCTGGGTCCTGCTGGCTTCAGTTCTCAACAACAGAAAAGGCAGAGACATTTGGCTCGGTACTTCTTTGAGTCCTTCCTGTTGCTAAATCAACCCATTCTCACTCCCAACTCGTCACATATTGACGCTTGGTCAGGTACCATCTGTGTYCAGTTTTGGCATGTCGGGTACCTGCCTCGCATCAGTTATTGACGAGATGAGACGGAGGAGGAGGAGCACATTCTCAGATTTTTGGAAAGAGTAGGAAATGCACGACAACTAACTGTCCCAGACCCTAAATTTAACTTCTATTAGCCCTAGACATCATATCCCTGACCTCGGTTCCTAAAATTAACCATTAATCATGATCCCTAATATTAACCACAGACCCCAACCCAAAGATCCCTATGTGGCGCGAACCCGTAAAAGMTGCGGGYGTCAATAACTGATGCGAGGGGGTTACCCGGCGCGTCAAAACTGGACGCAGACGGTACCTGCCCAAGCATTAATATGTGATGAGTTGGGAGTGAGAACGTGGAAMTAACAGTTGAATATAAAGCAGCATACTATGAGCACAGTGCTAAAACTTAATAGAAAAACTAAAAACCTAAACTTTACATGTAACCTATAGTCAAAGTAGTGTACATTTACTCTGTTTTCTTAGACTTCAGTTCGCAGGTCTGTGAATGTACTGTAGCTGTGTTGATATATTAAACCTTTCATTCTTTCTATTTGCAGGTTGTTCAGAACTACTTGGAGGAGATGACTTCATTCACAATTACCTCACCAGAACAAGAGAGTCTGCTAGAGAAGGGAATAGAAAGCAACGACCATAGTCAGAGCAGTATCACTTTTGAAACTTTACCCAAAGCAGACTATTACMCTGGTCATGAGTTCATCAGCCCTTTGCAACCAACTTCAGTGTTCAACAGTTCAACCTCTGCCCTGTCGGAGCCCATGACTCTACTGTCCAACACAGAACCCGTCAGTCCCCAGGCCAGTATCCCTACACAGTGCTCCTCTCAGCCCACCAGCCCGCAGATCATCAGCCCTGTGACTAACAGTCCCCACGTCAACGTCAACATCACTTTGCACATAGGGAACGGGTCTTGTGGGAGCCCCTCGTTTAAATCCACAGACTTGAGCCAAGCAGAATGTAAGCTTCCTTTTGGAAAGGAAGAGGAGTCCRTCAGCACCCCACAACAAGAGGCGGGCGACCTGTCGAAGACGTCAATTCTGGAGAGTGTCTATTCAAACTCATGATCACTCAAATCACTTTTTATTATTATTATTATGCAAACAGTTTTTACCAAAAACATGTATGAGCTGTTTTCACATCTTAAAGCTTTGTTTTGGATCCATATCAAAGTCATAGGCTGTGACTTTAATTTGTTTTATTTGTGTATATAGTATCTTGTACATAAATATGTGAATTCTATTTTTTTACTGAGGTAGTTATTGCTCTTTTAAGATTTTTTTTTACATTTATGTACCATATGAATTGTACAGCAGTCACAAAATAAAAGAAAAAAATAGTGGTGCTTCCAGAGCATTTTTAGTAGGGCCCATGTAAAATCCACACCTAACACAAAAGCCAATGGGTTTTTTGACAAATACATCTATATGGAATTTAGGGAATCACCTTCTCCACTTTAAATTTTGTTTTAAACGATGTTACTTATCAAAAAGCACGGTCTAGCACTGATAATAAAAATATTATAGGCTACATATAACCTCCAGAGGCTGTCAATCCATAACAGCTGTCTAAAACTAAATATTTGCAAATACCAACTCAAGCCTGAAACATCCCTTAATACAGACAACTCTAAAATTAAACTCCGAATCATTATTTTTTGTAAAGTGTGCATTAGTAATCCTAAGTTTATTAGAAGACTGCTTGAATTTTTTTACTTTTCATGCTGCCTGTGATTTCTGTGACCCTCGGCTGACACCTGCCGGTCGAAGCCGAGTACTGCACCCGTAACAAACGATTCATAAACACTTTAATTTAAAAAAATCTATTTTAATTTAGACTTCAAAGTCACATTTTTTCTCGTGATTCCTCCAATACTCACATTTAAATCAAACTATAACATAATTTAGGTTCCTGTCTTTTTTTTGCTTGTTTTAATCAATGTAAAGCCAAACAGTGGAAGAGAGGAAGGGTGAGCCGTTCCATTATTAAAGATGGAGGGGGAGGTGTTAAAATGTGCATTTATAGTTAGGCTTTTATTCTCAAACACACAGTAATTTTTAAATTCCGTTTTTATATTTGTTTATTTTTTACTATTTCAATTGTTGCAGTACAAATTAATTAATTTTTATGTATTAAATCCTTAGTTAACACGTACACCCCCCTGTTGATTAGCGGAGTTGGTTGCGTCTGTTGCCGCTGTGTGCTGCTCTTCTTCCTGAAAAGACACTTGTGTGGAAGCCGCTGATGTCGCTACAAGGAGATCTTTAGGTCAAGGAGGTATTGTTTTCTGCTTTCATCCATATTTCTTCGCTAGAGCTGCCACTTTAAGCTACGTTCAGTCCATCCACGTCCCCTGAAATGCACGGACTGTTAATGTGGAGTCTGTTTAATTAGTGCTGTGCCTCTTTTGTCATTCATCCTGGTTTTGTGTTGCGTTCAGGTCGCTTGTGTTTACAAATCCATCCATTTTATCCATTTTCTTTTTCGGTTCTCCTTTTCTTCCTGGTCTCGGGGCAGGAGCATAAAGCAGAGTTAAACAAACAGGACAGCGTATGGTTTCTAAATTGTCATATAGGCACTTTAAAGCGTGTTGATACCCTCTTGTAAAGGGAATTTAAAAGGAACCTTTTTAAAACACCGGGCTGGTCGACAGCAGCAGAGAAAAGGGGCTGCAGGTGTTTGCCTGTTGGTTGTCTGCTTGTTGCAAGCAGTTAGTGTTAAACCCCCTAAGAATTTAACTAAGAAACGAGTTTAGGGAGCTGGGAAATGCATTTCCTTTTTAAAAAAGCTTTGTCATATCCAGGTGTTTCCTCAGGTAAGGAGGAAGCTGACAAAACGAAAGTTGAACTGTGGGCTGTTCTCTCAGATGAATCAAGCCAAGGTTAAGCTTTATTTTAGTTTTTATTTAAGCATGCTTTTATTAACTATTGAGTTAAAGTGTATTTTCAGGCAAAGCAACATTATTTTTTACTCTCTGTCATTGTGTTGATAGATTTTAAAACATAAAATATTCAGATTTTTAGAAACTGATGGCAAATCAATAATTTGATCAGAATTGTTACTCATTTTAATTTTTCTGGTCAGGCACTGTTGGTGCTTTAAAACGAGACTCAGCTGTGAGATGAACAAGCTCTCGTGAAAGAGATTAAATATTAAACAAGTTCCTATTTCAGTCCATTTGGTTAATAAATGCCCAGAGTATCTGCTGCTTTTGCTATTTTCAGATTAAAGGTGTGCATTTTATTTTAATTTATGTTGTTTAATTTGCTTCCAGCAGCGACGGCAGCATCCAGGTTGAAGGTTTCTGAAGAGAGTCTCCATGACCACCTGCATGGCAGCGAATCCTTCACTTGAAGATTAAACCAAGCGTGCTCCGCTCCACAACGCTGTCCTCTTAAATGCCGCTCAGTCTTTGCTTTTGCAAATGGCTTGCTGTCTGAAGGACGAGCTCCTCTGTTCCATCTGCCTCAGCATCTACCAGGACCCCGTCAGCTTTGGCTGCGAGCACTACTTCTGCAGGAAGTGCATCACCGAGCACTGGAGCAGGCAGGAGCCTCACGGAGCGCGAGACTGCCCCGAGTGCCGCAGGACCTTCGCCGATCCGCTCCTCTCGCCCAGTCTCAAGTTGTCCAACATTGTGGAGCGTTACTCGGCCTTCCCCCTCGACGCCATCCTAAACGCGCAGAGGAGCTCCTACCCCTGCAAAGACCACGAGAAGGTCAAGCTCTTCTGCCTCACGGACAAAAGCCTGGTGTGCTTCTTCTGCGACGAGCCGGCGCTGCACGAGCAGCACCAGGTGACCACAATCGACGAGGCGTTCGAGGAGATTCAGGTCAGTTGTAGCAAACGCACTCTGACAGCTCATTAGTAAAGATAATCTGCTAATTTTATATATATAAAAAAAAAATACAGCGTTTTGCATTGGATTCAGGTAGTTGTGCTCATTCTCCCCCATGGGAGCTGCCCAGACCGTTAAGCATGAAGACTGCAGCCACCACAGAGCTGCTGCATGTAAGCAGGTTTTCTCATGAGGACTTCAGCTGGAGGAGTAGCTGAAGAATGAGGCAAATCTAATTTACTGTTCCCAAAAGGACCGCATGAGTCCACTGACCTTAGATAATAAGATTCTAGTTAGTCACTCCTGTTATTATCAGAAATCAGTGGAGTTTTTTTCCTTTCTGTTGTAAATACTTTGAGTAAAAAGATGATTTATTATGCAGCTCATGTTGCCTAAAAGTTCAACTGCAAAATTCCACAAAATGAATCCAACGGGGTAAAATGAATTTTTTTAATTAATTTTATTTTTGCTTTTAATTTGCATGCTTGGCTTAAAAAAGTACTATTTAAAATGTAATTAATGCACATTTTACCCTCAGGTGCACATGCGAGTTACCTGTATTTAATGGCGTGCCTTATTTCATGCTGCTAATTTGGCCAGGCCTTCCTCTAACATTCATTCAATAAATCTCGGCTTATTCATTTTTAAACAGAACAGATTTTAGCTCTGGTTTTGTTTTTCCAGAGATCAGTATCCCCTGACAAAAACAGCTACCGTGCCTACTTTTTAAACTAATAGAAAATACTACAGTGTGGTCATTTTCATAGATTTGAACCTGGACAGATTCCAGGATTACAGCCCGCTCTGATAGCAGTGAAGTGTTGAACTCATGGTGCTGCTGTGCTCACAGTTTAACCAGGGGACCCATGTTGTACGCCAGCACTTGTCTTTTTGTCTCAGCATTCTTTCGGCTGTGATTTCTCCTCAGCTCCACTTTAACAGAAACATTAAAGGAAATACGGTTTGCTTCTGCTCAGAGATTTTCACTCACAAGGAAAATGAAATTTGARTGCACCAGCAGACGAAGGCTATTTTTTTTGCGAAGTAAAGAGATGAAATACCTCAATACCTTTTTCAATAATTTATCCCATTTCAGATTCAAGATTCTTGACGGTGATTAGCAGTGGCTGTGAGAATCTGAGTCATGTTTTYCACATGAATAAGAATGGTTCAAGTGTTTGCTTTCCTCCCGTTGTTTGAATAATTCCATTCCCGCTGAGCCAAAATCCAATAACTGTGAAACAAAGCTCCTAATCCTGTTCCTTTGGTGCTCCAGTATGCATAGCAACACATTCCAAGCTTGTGCCACGGCGCATATTCCAATTTTCATGTCTGCTTATCACTGCAGATATCCACTCCATCACTGAACGCACCTTTCTTGAGGAGAGAAACCCTTGATGGATAATCAAATGAAAGGTTTTGAAGGTTTGTGTTGTTTGGAAGTAACTGCGTATAAGTCTGTGACAAGTCCTGCGTTGGTGCACACACTGCATCTTTTAGATCACTGCAGCCTTTGACTCTTCATGATGCTGACCTCCTTGACTTGTCTAAAAATATCCTTGACGTGGAGAAGTTCATTCTGCACTGGCGCTCTGAATCAGTAAGCAGTCTATGACTGAATTATGAACTCCACCCGATGGAGAAACGGAACTGAAGAAAAGCAGGCATCGTGTTATTTTAGAGGTCTGGGCGAGTTGGGCCAATTCGGAACTCACTAGAGGGATTATTTTGTTTCCCAGCTGGTCTGGGATTCCCAAATAGGAGCTGGAGGGATTTGATGGAGAAAGCCTGGGTATCCGTACTTACTCGTTTCCCCTGTGACTCTCAGTGGATTACGTAGTTTTGGAAAATTGATAGATGAATGTGTATTTATGCTACTCTTCATACTGTTTTTAACCATCAGTTTAATAGGGATTTGTTTCGTTAAGACCTTTTGAAAGTAATATAATAACAGCACTATGCACCACCCCTAATTTCTTTTTACTTTGCTTCTAAAGAGGCATTTTTTAAAATTTTTTGAAGAGATATTCGTCAGTACTTCAGACTACCTGAAGGTCTTTTAAAGGTCCTCTTTAGGCTTTTGTTGTCTTTTTTTTAACTCATTTTCTGTTCAGCCCTTATACCAGACAGCTTCATTTCAATTGTGAGGAAATGGAGGACACAAGTGTCGAGCCTATTAACAATAACTGAGCAGTATCTGAAATTTAAGTCCTTTTAAAAAGGAGGGGGAAAAAAAGCACACAAAGACTCGATACAACACCTGAGAGATGTATCGTCTTTCAGTGAATCATCTCCGTGAAGTTTTCATCTTATCGCTCTCTGGGAAATATCTTGTTGGTGCTGAAATTGCTATTTTGCGTGTCAAGCTGTGTTCGCTTCAGCACATTTTTGTGAAAATTACCAAAGAAATGAGAGCAAACAGTTTGACGGCCTGCTTGTAACAAAGTACCTGTAGAGCTAATTTAAAATGGGTGCTTTGCTAATCTCTGTGTCAACACAACGTTGGTTCACAGTTAAAGACAACTTTTGTTCCTGAATGGTTCGTAGGTCAGGCTTAAAGTGGCTAAACAACTAACTAAAAGCTCACCTCTGAAAAATGAGTGGCTAAATCAGCAGAGAAAGAAGACTTTCATATTAAAACACATTACTCAAAACTTTCCTTTTTACATTATAAAATCATTGACCGTGCTTTATCTTTGCAGCCATCTTCAGTTTTCAGTCAGGGTCTTTATGGGCAGCTTGGTAAGGGTCAAAACTGTATAATGTTTGAACAGAAATAATTAGTCCCAGCACAAGATGTTTCTCCCTTCTTGGACAACAGCTCGTCCCTCTGCTTGGAGTTCTTTTCAAGGCGGCGATTTGGCATTTTTGTATTCTGGCAAGAGGCTTGGATGCTTCCCAGATCTGCGATGCTGAAAGAGCGTCTGAGCTCCGAGGGCCCCATCAGAAACAAGTGTGACCCTTGATGAGCTTGGCATGCCCGCCTTTTTACATGATTTGTTACGTAATGTCTGATCCTTACCAGACAAACGAGCACCAGAAAAAGGCAGGTGATGGTGTTATTTTATGTTCTCACTCCTGGACAGGAAACTTGATCAAACTATTGCACAACTTGCTTGTTTTTCCTTTTTTCTTTCTTTCTTTCTTTTTTTTTTTTTAGCAAACAGAAGAGCTGTTTGTCACATAGAAGCAAATGTGTGGGAACTGTGCCTGCAGGCTCAAACTTCACTCTACATAAAGCTCAACACTGCTTAACTAAATGCCAAAACAATATGATGGGGATGTGCTAAAGTGCAGCAGCGACCGCAGCAGCAATCAGCTCTATGTGCAGCAATAATGTGGCTGGAGGGGCACATGTCATGTCAGCTTGGTGGCCTATTCCAAACTACCCTCAAGAGATTTTTATTTTGTACGGTGGGAAGTTTGGTGATGAGCACAGAAAGGATTTGATGGGTCAAGAGCCAAAAAAATCGCCCCCTTTTTTACTTTTGCCTAATTGTTTGGAATTCAACTCAGGTTTTGACTTTTGTCCTCCTTGCCTTTTGTGGTGTTTTTGGATTTGCCCATGTATTTGAAAGATGCAGCTCTGCTTTGGGTTTTTACAACACTGTGACCTCTTTGTCTGAGAGTGAAAGAAACAACTGTGGTAATGTTAAAGGGTTGGCAAATGTGCTGCGATGAAAATAGGGTTTTTGTTTTTGGAGGAAATGAGCAGAAAAGGAAAACATCCAGGTTGTCAGAGCTGAAGTCATTCATTCGTGCAGTTTATTTTTTCCCAGCAGTTTGTCCATTTATGCTAGTTCAATATTCTAATTTGATTACTTATCGTTGATGCATTCTGCATCCAGTCTCTGTTCCTCTGCTACTGCAGTGGTGATTCTTACTCAGTCAGTCACAGTCTTTGCAGATCAGTTCAATTATTAAAAGTACAATTTAATGTTTTGAAATCCCTTTAAAAACATAATTATAAAACCTGTGATTTGAAATAAGATCCCAATTAAGAGACACGTAGAACATGAAAATGACCAAACCCTGCGTTGATTAGGCCAAGTACTGAACCGTCTCTTCGATAATGAACACATTATTTTTAAAAGGACCTGTGTTGCACTCAGTCCATTACTTGCTAATTAACTCTGCAAAGGCACAGTGTTGCAGTTGCAACTGAGGTTCGCACAACCAACTAATGAAAATACTGCAGTCGTGATGTTTGTAATGTTGCAATCGTAAAAAAAAAAAAACGTACTGAGACATCTATGTCAAAATTATTGTTGCACAGAAAGTAATTTTAAATTGTTACGCTTTTCAGGGCAGCTTTATTTTACCCTAAATTGTGTGCATTGCAGTGAAACTAGAATTTGTTTACTTCCATTACTCTGCTGGATGTGCGTGTAAAATCTTTATGGCACTGACATGTTTTTTTATTTTTTATTATCAACTTAATTTTTTAGACAAAATGTTTTCTTATCMCCCTTTTTACTGAAACAGTTTGAGGAAATCTCTGACTTGTAGATCCAGTAGCTTTTACTGCTATGTGAAAATATTATTTGTCCTACATGTTGCGTTACAGCATTCCCTCAGGTTTCGGTTATGTCACCTGYCTCTTACATCACGACATCTAAACTCTGTTTTGATTTTTGGCGAACTGCTGACACACGTGCCTTCTGTGTGCATTGGGATGTAATCTCCTTAGCCTGTCATGTCACTACGTTGACCTCAGACTCTGAGTCTTGTTGTCGTGTCGAGAGCTTTACCTCCCACCCGATTCGTGCCCGTCTCCACCCCCCTCGTAAGCGTGTCCGTAGCTTTTGACGCGCACGTAAACATCCGCCGCTCGACATTGCGATGCTCGCGCGCACCTGGCAAACAGTCACCCCGCTCATAATTGCTCGCTCGCACATAAAGGACATCATGGTGGGATGGAAGAGGATTTGTCTGCAGCTCTGTTTATTTGGATCAGGAAGCAGAGATTTCACTGCAAGCTGAGGCATTCTGAT